GCTGCAGTACTTCTACTGTAGGGACGAGGGCTGCAGTACTTCTGCTGTCGGCCTTCGGACGCTCTCACATGTAGCACAGCTGCTGAGAGGACGTCTGACGTGCTTCTAGCACCAAACTGACAAACGGTCACTTTAGCTTCCAGCTTTACTTTAAGAGTTTGTTGCTGTGAATCACACCAACAGGAAATCTCGTCTCCTCAGGGGCTGTTTGGGACTTCCGTGTCCTCCTGGTAAGGCAGGGTCTGACCTCTGACCTTCTGGAGCTGCACTCCACCCCCTGGAGCACCATTCAGACCGTGGACCCGACTGACCGCCGAGTGCAGGACTTCCTCCGGACACGACGGTGCCAGAAAGGAAACAGCGGCACTCCGGAGCTGGACTTGGACACGCTGCTGTCGCAGAAGTACAGCGGTGAGCGAAACTACGAAACCTCGCCTGAAACGTCCTCAGCAGATTTATCACCGTGTTTAAGGAGCCGCGAATGTTTTCTTCTCCGCTCCATCAGGTGACGCGGAGCTCGGAGTCCAGGTCATCACCTTCTGCTTTCAGGATGCGCCGGCTTCCCAGAATGCACCTCAGCCCGTCCTGGACGGCTCCACGTCACGGGAAGGCATCACGGCGGCGCTGAGCGGTGACATCACTTACACCGGCTGTGGGCGCTGCTCTGCAGAGCTCGACACAGACGCCAACGACATCTACAGGCCGTGTTACCCCTGCCTGCCCCACACCGCTGTACGCCGCTACTACAGGTACCGATGACATCATCGGATGATTAACGTTTTTTTTCTTTTAGTTTTAAATATAAAAATAAATAAATGAATCCAAGTTTCAGAGCCTCACAGATTAAAACACCAGCATGTGTTGGTGTGTTTTTCAGACCAGGTGTGCTGACAGTGAGTGGGCGGGGCTCCATCCAGGTGTGTGTTCAGGTACCTCCTGATCCTCTGCAGAAGATCCTCAAGGCTCCGCCCGATAAACTCCATCGTAGCTCAGGTGAGACCGTCGTTCAAAGAGTGAAGCTTTATTCCAAGCAGGCAGCACAGGCGTGACCCACAAGCCGCCGCCACAGCTGGGTCGGCGTCCAACCACAGAGCCCGACCTCCTCATCGGTTTCTCTGCTGCTGTCGGCAGCGCCGATGCAGAGCGATGGAACATCTCCGACTGGCTGAAGGAGCTCAGCTTCCTCAGGAATCAGCTCGATGTGGATGGCGAGGTTATCACACTCCTCCACCACATCCTCCAACTTCACCATCTCTCTGGTCAAAGCAGATGAAGCACAAACACATCCACTAGTAATCAGTCCTCCTTCTCCTGCCCGTCACTAACCCAGAGTGTGTCTGCTGGTGTCGACCACTTCCTCTGACAGGTGAGCTGAGGCCTGAGCTAATACAGTACACGTAAATCTCACTGAGCAGCTGTCTCACCTGGCTCAGCCCTGCAAAGGTGAGTCCAGTCCAACCATTTGAGGGCAGGAGGAGCTGCAGTTACAGAAACTGTCCAACAGAGGGAGTCGCTGCACAGGAAACCTGCTGGAAAATGATGAATATGCAGGACAGTCAGAGGATGTTGATTCAGCTGAACATCCTGGCTTCTTAGAAGTCATTTAATCATTGTAATGACACAGTGTTGGTGAAAAACATGGATTTCCTGTGTCATCTGCATTCCTGAAACAAGTTCCTGCACAGACGTAAATGTGTGAAACAGCCTGAAGTTCGCAGAAAGTGTTTGCAGATCTTAATGAGTGGCTGTGCTTCCCTCATGAATGACTCCAACATGACTGCTCGTTCCTGTCAGCGAGACGATTATAAAAGGAAAACAAAGGTCGGCCGTGGAACATGTCAAAGCTTCAGGAGCTCCAAGTCTCTAAAACGGGAAATGCACAAGAAGACCAATCCAAACCAGCGGGATAGAAACGGAGCTCGGAGTGGGTATAGAGGAGCCATGGTGGATGCATGGGTGGATGCATGGGTGGATGCATGGCTGAATCGGGGTCTGTTAAAGCTCTTCTTCAGAGTCTGGCGCTCAGATTGAACATTTCAAGTGAAACGGGAATAAAATGGTGACGAGGCTCCATCCTCCATCTTTTCCATGGTGGAACCGACTTCATCGTTATAAAAGCTCAGAGCTGCACCGTGATGATGACATCATCGTTAGTCATACAAATTCTACTTTTGAGGTGTTTGATGAAGCCAGCGTGTTAAAATAGTTTAGTAATAATAATGATACATTTTATTTATGGCCTCCTTGAAGACCCTCGAGGTCACCTTACAATAATATATCAACAGTAGCAGCAATACAATAAAATATAGCAACATGAAATGTAAACAAACAGTGTTGTTGGTTTGGGTCAAAGAAAGAAAGCTGAGTGAGCATCCTGGTGATTTCCTGTAACTGCTGTCACGTGTCCGTCCCGCGGCCGGCTGAACGTGCACGCACAGACTCAGAGTCATGAGGCCCTAAAGGCAGCGCGAGGTAGAAAATGTCTGTAACCCAAAACATAGGATCCGTTTATATCGCCTGTTTCCTCTTTCTGCACTTGTTGTAGTGCAGTTTGCTCGTGTCTGTGGTAACTGCACTTTTTAGGTTACAGTACACTGAGCAGCAGAATATCAGTCTCAGGGGGAGGAGTCACAGGAGAGAGGAGTCAGAGGGAGGAGTCAGAGGGAGGAGTCAGAGGGAGGAGTTACACAAGGAGTCAGAGGGAGGAGTCAGAGGAGGGAGGAGTCAGAGGGAGGAGTTACACAAGGAGTTCTTGGTCAGATGCTTCTTGTGATTCTCGGCTCATCCTGTCTGCATCTGTTTTGTTCCTCAGCTCCGGGGTCGGAGGTGAAACACATCCAGGTGGCAGCAGAGAGGATCCACACCCTCCTCTCCCTCCCGAGGAAGACCTTCATCGCCACCATCAGAAGCAACTTCCTGTGCGATGAGAACAGCATCCCCATCAGTCAGGACTTCACGCTGCTGGACCTTCAGTTCCTCCCTGAACCCCGCTGACCTCACAGTGACTGCACACCTGATGGCAGCTTTGGGATCTGTCCTGAGGACAGGTGTGACATAAGTAAAGAACAGGGCGGGGCTTATCAGAGGTCAAAGGTCAATAAAAACTCATTTTCAATGTTTCAGTGACGTTTTCATGTTTCACATTGATACCTACCAATGATAAGTACCCTATATTCTGGAGAGACAGGATCCAATCCAAATGAAGTTGCGTGGAAAGCGGGACGAGTCCTGCTCGCCCCCGTTACTCTTCAAAACGGGACAAAATGTCGACACTGTCAGCAGGAAGAGGAGAGGCTTTGTACAGCGTGTAGAGCAGCTGTCACCAGTAGAAACACAACAAACATCTATACTTCAGTTTGGATTTAGTCTGCTTTCATCTGGTCAATTCAAACTAAAGAGAATTAGATGATTAAACTCAAACTAAATCAAAACTTTCTTTCTTTGACTAAAGTCCAGCTGGGATAAGCACATTTACTCAGGGCCTCCCTGATGCTGTGTCAGTGGGGATGGTGTTCGCTCTGTGTTGTGGCGTCCTGATGACGCCCAGTTTGTGCTCCAGTGGATGATGAGAGTCAGACCATAGATACTGACCCGTATGTGTAGGTTTACACGTCAGCTTGTAAATGTCCCCGTTACTACGGGGCGCCGTTTGTAACGGCAACATTTTTCCACATGTAGCTCAAAACCTCAAAAACATGTTTTTTCAAGTCATTTTTTACAACATTTAGTAAAATATTTGTAACTTTTCATATTTAAGTTA